CCCCTAATCGTAAACGCCGTACGTGCGGTAGGACAATTCAATAGGAAGAACGGCGTCCCTCCTAATTATAAGTTCCGCCGGTATAAGTCTAGTCGTATCGATAATAGTAGTTCGGTCCGCCTAGAGAAGGGCTAGGACGCGGGTAGAAATAGGAACTAATCTATCGCTACTATTAGTTATCTTAGATAGGGCATCAATTAACGACCGATAGCCGCGCTTAATAATAGTATTCGATTAGGGATAGTACGGGGAGATGCGAACGTTTTTCGCCCTATACGAAACAAGTAGCGCTTAAACCTCCTTAGCTATATTGTTCGTAGCGTTGTCTAAGATAACCTCGTAAGGTGTTCCCTAGCGGCAAAACAGATCCTTAAACAGGAAGGTAGCTATATTACGGGCATTAATAGCACCGCAACCTTTGTAGAAATAATAGGCCTCCGGCTATCGAGAAAGACCCTCTCGAATAATATATAGGCTATTATTGCGGCTAAGATAGACCCTATCGCTATACTACCGCTCCCTAACTAACTAGGTAGTAGGGATACGTAGCTCTCCTAGACGCCGGTAGCTATTCCTAAAGTTGCACTTAGGACAGCTCTTATAGTAGCGGGAGATATCGGCCTATACGCCGTCCTACTAGTACCGACGACGAAGGATATCGAAGGTGCCCTCCGCCGCCCGGTAGCCGAGCTTATCGTAAACGGAACGAAGGATTTCTTATCGGGCTGCTAGATCGTTAATAATACGCTAGAGCGGTATATTAACTATAGCCTATTACTAAAGGATACGATCCTTAATAAGGAATCTCCGAGAATAGCGAATAATACGACGGTATTAACTCTTTAATAGACCGGGAGCTCTCTTCGTATAGGTAAGGAAGTAGGCGATATTATAGGAGTCGTCGGAGTAGACCCTATTAAGGATATTATCCCTGCCTAGTTCGCCCGCCTTAGTATCGTCCTAGCCCTCGTCGTTAGCAGTAGGGTCTTCGTTAGGCTAGTTACTAGGTTAGTCGTCGGCAGTAGGCCTAGTAATTACTAGCATAGCATTAATATAGAAGGCAGTAAAGAAGGTACGGTTAATAACCGCGTCGATATCCTCTTCTTCTATTATCTCGGCGATGTCCTCTTCTATAGTAGGCCTTCTAGAAAGGCTATCCGGTCTAGTATACTTCTTGCTAGGAACATAGAAGACGTCGAAATTAAACAAATAGATCTAGGCAACCTACCGAGCTATCGCAGAGTTAGGTAGGTCGGAGGCTATACGGTTAAGTTAATAGACTAGCGTCTAAGCGTCGACTTCTAAGCGAAAGAACACTCTAAAGAGCTAAGGTCGGAACTTCTTAAGAGCCTTATAGATACTAAGGCACTCTCGCTTACTAGCATCGTATCGGGCCTCGATAGGTTTCTATAGACCGGACTCGTACCGGATAGGGTAACGTAAGGAGGGCTCCTTACGATTATACTGCATTAGTATCTCGCCGTAGCCTTCCCCGCTCGAGTCGATAGCAATAATTAGCAGACCTACGCCTTCCGAGTAGTTAATAGAGGTAAGCGTAGGCGCGCTAACAAGTGCTTTAGTAACCTTATCCTTAGCGGCTTAGTAAACGGAGGTCTATTTAAACTCTGTATCCTTCTTAAGCAAGGCGTATAGAGGCTTATATACTAACGCAAAGTTTTCGACCTAGATACGGAAGTAGGAGACTACTCTAAGCTAGATCCGGATATCTTTCTAGTAGGTAGGGTCGGGCTAGGATACAATCTTTAGGACCCGTATATTGTTAGGATAGCGGCCGTTCTTATTAGTTACAAACCCGACAATGTTTATTCGTTTATATAGGAGCTGAAGCTTCTCCCTATATACCGTTAGGTTAGCTCGCTCTAGGTCGTAGAGGACACTATCGAGGTTCTGAATATATTCGAGAAAGAACCTACGGATACTAGGCTCTACTTCTTTATTATCGTACCTAGTTTTAGGGCCCTTAATACTAATGTCGTTAAGGAAAGGCATCGCTATATAGGAGATATAGGCCGCGAGGACTTAGTTTATAATACGAACGAACTAGGCTACGGAGTTGGTTGCCCCTTATAGAAGGGTAGTTTGTCTATATAGCCTAAGAGGTATCTCGAAACTAGTAAGGTCGCAGCTATTAGGATAGAGAGGGATCTAGTCGTAGCCCGAGAAAACATTAACTAGTAAGGCTACAATACAGTTAGCAAAAGCTTCCGAGAACCTATTAGTCTCCGGAGGGAGGTTAGTATCTCTAATCGTAACTGCGTTAAACTTTTATATAGCGTTAATTAGACGGTACTTCTTTAGTTCCCTAGGAGCTGTCTTCTTCTAAACTAGGAAGTATAGGTTGCGATACGAGGCATAGGAAGGCTCTAAGGTACTAGCCTTTACACGCTGCCGTATTATGTCCTTAACTATACCTCTTAGGCTTAGGTTTAGCTTGAACCCTAGGTAAGCCTAAGGCTTATACTCGATCGTTCGGATCCTCTATAGAGGGGCAACCTCCGGGTTAATCCTACCTAGATACGTAAAGTTATATACTAATACGGCTTCGCGGTTGTATAGAAGCTCGTATAGCAAATCTAGTTCGAGATCCGAAAGCTCGATACTAGGTTTGATGTTCGCTAGTCTCTCCGGCGTTAGCCTCGATCCCCTAGGAATAGCGGAGAACTTTTTAGTAATATACCTCTAGTCGTATAGACTATCCCTAGGTATTAACATCGCTTCGCGGTTAAGGCACTTTTGTCGCTAGTTAGGATTTCCGCTAGGATTAGACCTATCGGTTATATATACGCTGCCTTTTACGGGCTTAATCTTGTTAGCTACCCTCTTATATAGGGTATATATACTAACCGCTCGTAATACCCGAGCTCTCTCTCTTTAACGTTAGGCCCGGAGATTAGCGTAATAGAACAGCGCGTAAACTTTATTAGAAGTCTCCTTAAGTCGGTAGGTATACAGCTAGTAATCCTAATTTATAATTCTAGCGAAAACGTTAGATTCCTAATAACACCCCCGGGGTAGCATTAGCTCGGCGTTCTAATTAGTTAGTTCGGATTCGGGTAGATCCGCTTCCGGCGGCGATGCCTACGACAGCATTATTACCGAGATTCGTACACTAGGTAGTCGTTATACTATTATGCTCGCTATCGCTTCGAGCATTCGTCTCCTTAGTATAGAGCCTAGAAACTAGCCTTATCGCACGGAGCGGCGCACCTCTAGATATAACCTATTCGAGCTATATTAACTTATAGCGCAGATTGCCGGTCTTACAACCGCGCTATAGCGTTTCCCGAAGAGCGCTTAGAAGTAGTAAGGATATCCTCGTAGGACTTGTAGCTAGTGTTTCCGATATAACTAGTAAATACGACTCGGTTGCCCTTCTAGTTAGCGATAGTTCCTTCCTAGGAGCTATCGTCGCAGTTGCGCTAGACACCCCGGGTTATGCGAGACTATAGTCGACCTAGAATAATTAGCGTATTCGGGTTAGCGGCAATCTAGAAGGTAAAGGAAAAGCATATACCGAAAGCGTCTACTATAACATTGTAGCAGGCACCTACTAGCGCAACCTCCCTATTCACTCCCTATATACTAAGGGAAATATCTCTATTTATTAGTAGTCGGAGCTGTTTAGCCTAGCGCTTACTTATAATAAGTGACTCTAAACTATTATTAAGCATTGCTAGCAACTGCTAACTATAGCTTCCGATAGTAACTTAGATATAGATAGCGGGAACGACGGTAAAGGAACGGGTAACTGCGGAAAGGTCTATATTATTAGGGATAGAGTAAAGTTCCTTAGGTCGAGGAGGTCTTACTCGACCGATTTATTAGCTAGTAAATCGGACAGCCTTAATAGAAACTGAAACCGAAGCAGGGTCGGCATTATTATTATCCCCTCGGCCTATCTCCTTAATCCCCTCTTCGTTAGTATTATCGATAGTCTCCTAGCTCTCGTAGGTTACTAATTCGCCTTCTACTAACTCCTAGGCCCCTAAAAATTCAGGAAGGAACTATAGGGAAGAGACGTCGATATAGTCCTCTCGCCCCTGTTTACGTCGGAGGGCTATAAGGTCTTTTATAAAGGTAGCATCGTTAGGAATCCGGCTCTAGAATAGGTTAGTAGGCAAACCGTATACTAGAAGCTCTCCTATAGATACGTTAGACTTAAGGTCTAGGAACTATAAAGCTTAGAAGAGAGCATTTACCTTTATATCGTAAGAGTTAGTAGGCCCGGCACTATACTTCTTTATATACCTATTAAAGCGAAAGCTCTTTAGGTCGGCTAACTTTCGTTTGTAGGCCGGCAGGTTAGCTAGACCTAGGGTGCTACTAATATCGGTAGCAACATCCTCTATATCGACCTCTAGAGTCTCTAGGACGACTAGGCTTTCTATAGGTAGGGTGCTAGGTGCGGTGCTAGGTATAGTGCTAGATCGGGCAGCACAGTCTATAGCTGTCTAGAGAGTCTTAGTTTTTGCGGTTAACTCGCGCTATTGCTTAGCCTTATCGGCCGCCTTATTCTTTAGTACCCTAGTAGGGGCTGCCGCACTAGGGCGAGTAGGGTTCTAAGGGTTCTTACCCTTACTTTAGGACTAGGTCTAAGACCGTGTAGCAGCGTAGACATCTATACTGTTCTTAGTAACCGCGTAAATATTAGTAACTGCGTCCGGATCCTAAGACACAAAGTTGACTTTAACAGGCTTAGTAGTACTATTACTACTCCGCTCCTTAACCTGTTTTGCCCTAACCTTCTAAGTTTCTCGTTTAGCAATAGCGGCGAGGGTACTGTTCCTAGTATCCTTAAACTCGATCTTGCTACTATACTTCTTCTCTAGAAGACTCCTAAGTTAAGGCAGCTTCGGAGCTCTACGATCCTACTCGAAGTTAATCTTATCGCCGGTATCGGTATAGTAGAACCGACTATTTACTTGTATAACGAGCTTCCTCTTAAGAAGCTCTTTCTAGATAGGGCAGTCTAATTAAACATGTTTAAAACCGCCGTACATCTAGCACTTGCTATCTAAGTCAGAATAGATCTTTCGTATAGCGTAGACGTTAACTAAAGGGGCCTTAGGGTAGTTAGGATCGGAAATCTAGTAGACCGGTAGTACATCCTTTAGTATACTAGTATTAATAACCTCCCTAACTCGCTATAGTGCTTTCGTATTAAGGTTAAGCTAGGCTAGGGATTTAGCTAAGTCCGTAACGTCCTAAGAATGCTTAGTAACGGTAGGAGTTACGGTACTAGGACCACTTTGCGATTTAGGAAGAAACTTAGGCCCTCTAGTTCCCGAGGCATCGTTTCTTACCTAGGCTAGGTTATTCCGGTCCTCGCCGTAAATGAACTTCTTTGTATCGGCGGAGCTATTAATATCGTCCTTAACAGCCTCTAGGACCTCTTTGTACTTCCTAAAGGTCTTAGGATTAGCTTCGCTAAGCTTATAGCGACGGAAGACACGCTTAGCCGTAGACTACGGCAACCCTTTAAGGAGCAGCCTCGTTCTCTAAGAATTCTCGAGGTCCTGCTAGTCGATACTGTCCGCTAACTTAACAAACTCGCGGACGTACTCCTTTAGGTCGTTATCTTCGGTACGCCTCTCTATATAGAGGTTCTTAAGCTACGTACGACTACCTTTAATACGACGGCTGTCGCGATCCCGATACTCCCTTATAAAGGCCTGCTTAAAGACCTCCTAGTCGGTATTAGACTTGTCGTCCTTTTCTAGGTAGCTAACTAGGGTTCTAAGGGTTCGGTGAAGCTTAGTAATAGTAGTCCTCGTAAGGGACCGGACCTTGTACTAGTCCGACTCCTCTTCGAGTCCGTACTCGGCTAAGTTGTCCTTAAAGCGTTCTACGTACGCCGTAGCGTTCCACCCTTCGAATAAAGGGTTCCTACTGCTTCCTAGCTCTAGTAGGCGACGCCTGTTCTAACGGAGAAGGTTAGTTTGCCCTTAAATTATCTTTATAACGACATTGTAGAGGGCCTCGGGCATAGAAGGCTCGATAGCCCCTAGTTCGACGGCGCTTATAACAACTAGTCGTCGCCTGATTTCTTCGTTAATAGGGTCCGGTAGGTTATTAGATTCCGAAGATTCCGCTAATTCGTAATGCTCGTTTTCGCTAGAGCTAGAGCTTATTCGATTATCGTAAAGTAGTTAAAATAAAATGCTATAGGAAAGTATTTTTAGTGTATATTGTAGGTTTGGTTTGTTTCGATGTTGCTATGCGAGAGAATAGTATGCTAGGCTATTTTATTCTAATATTACCCCCGGGGTAGTATTGGAATTTAGCCTCCTAGGGGTCGCCTATATACCCCTAGGAGCTAAGTTTAGTATTAGACGAAAGCCGCTCGGAGGGAGAGACTGCAATCTCTATTTACACCTAGATCCTAGAAACTAGCTCGTATCTCCTTTAGCTAGGCAGGGGGGGCGGGGACCTTCTTTTTCTAGTAGAAGGCTAAGCACTATCCGAACGAGGTAGCGAATCCCGAAACAATCTACCCGGTTAATAGGGGAACTGTCTAGGCATCCGACCTATAATCTAGAAATTGCTATCGTATAGATAGTCTTAGCAAACTAAGCAAGGCCGATAGGTAATTAGTCTATCTCCTCCTTAGGCGGGCGGTAGCTTATCTCGAGCAAGCGGTACTAAATAGGTCTTCGACCCGGAGCCGAGTCCTTAGAAGCTAGCTATAGTTATAGACTAGGCCCTAAGCTATAATAGTCCTAAGGGTTTGCAGCTTTTCGGGGTTAAAGCGATGCCCTCGTTAAGAGGTTTCTCTGCTTGTCGTAACGGCCCCTTAAGATACTTCGGTATCGTCCGTATCGTAGGCTCTTATCGTGCCCTCGCTTCGGTTATAGCTATTCGTGCCTAGAGACTATCTTTAACATACCCGAACCTATCAGATATAAAGAGATAGCCCTACCTTCGGCTCTAATAAAGGACGGAAACCAATACTACTACTACTACTTGTAGTAATAGTATAGGCTACCGAGGGTAATATAACCTATAGCAATATAGGCAGCTATATTTAGCAAGATAGGATAACGAGACTATCGCTTAGGCTAATAACTAGAGCCCTACAATATAGGCATTGTAGAAGTGTAACATAAACAATGTGCTATACGAGGTTAATGATCTATCTATAATGCAGAAGGAGGCCTCTTATATAGGCTCAAAACTAGCCTATAGGTGTAGGGCCGGTTACTAGCTAATACTAGGCGCTAGCTTCTAAACAGGTAACCGTTAATAGAAGCGCTAACGATAAGCGTTATTATACTAGCCGTTCTAATAATAGTAATACTAATATAGAAGCTAATAACAAAGTTAACGCGACTAAGGCTAAAACAGGCAGTTCCTAGGTGCCGCGGAGTAAAGATAATGCTATAGGCACTAGCTAAGTTACTCCGTAGATAAATAATATAATAGGAGTTTAGAGTCCTATAGGTATATAGAGACTAAAAGATGCTTTATAGAAAGCGACGTTAAGCGCGGTCTATCGTCTCCGAAGCGACGATTTTAGAGAGGGGGTAGTATTATAGGCCGAGACCCTTTACATGCCTAAGACACGTAAAAGCCGGCTCGGGCCGTCCCGCCGAGCTGCGGCAAACCTTCGATGCATTTAGTCGCGCCCTCTCTCGCGCTCTTCTTAGATTCTACGTCGACGTCTTAAATAATAACGTCTCTAATACTGTTTACCTATTACAACCCCTAATCGTTTATCTAGTTCTAGCACTAATTCGAGCGGACCTAGTAGTGCCCTAACTAGATATAAGTGCTTTAATTGTAATAGTACTACTTATTTACTAGGTTAATGTAACAGACCTTAAGACTAGGCCCGAGTCGACTATGCTACCGCTAAGCACCGAAAGCACCTCTTAGTAGCTAACGCTACCTCTATAGGCTAACCTTCGAAAAAAGAACAAGCGCCGTACTAACTATTAGCCTTATATAGCGTAAGACTATCGACATTATACTAGCTATTACGCGTACCTGTCTTATATCCGGGCACGACGCTAACTATAAAGCTAAGGTTATACTAGATCTAGGAAATTTAGTTAGTGCCCTTATTAGCTATCGCCTAGCTAAGCAATTAGACCTTCGACAACTGCCTAGAACTAACCTACTAACCCTTGCTTAGTTTAATAACGCTCGGCACTTAACCTACGGAGCCTACTATATCTATATAGCCCTAAAGGACGACCTCGGTAATAAGCGCCTACTAAACTTTACTACCTACGTAGTAGATATAGACAGCCTCCTATCCGATATTGTTATTAGCAACCCTATTCTTAAGTACTACGCTATAGCTATAGACTTAGGCATTTAGAAGTAGCGATTTGGAATCGCTAGGAAGGAGGACATTAAATACATTAATATTAGCGAGTGCCCTAACGATATTAGGGTCCTATTTATTAGCAACCTAATACTAGCCTCCGCCTTAGCTAATCCTACTACCGACCTACTCGGTAATAATAACGATAAACCTATGCCTCCTAATAGTATAGACCCTAATTAGCTCGCTCGCATACCCTAGACTATTAGGGAGACCTATATCGAGGTGTTTAAACACTACTTAGCATCGACATTGCCTATATTTAAAGAGACTAATTATAAGATTAATATTATAGAGGGTAAGGAGGTCCCCTTTAGGCCCCTCTATAACCTTAGTAAACGAGAGCTTGCTATACTACGTAAGTACCTAGAGGAAAACCTAGCTAATAGCCGCATTCGGTATAGTAATAGCCCTACTAGTATACCTATCCTGTTTGTTCTAAAGAAGGATAGTAGCCTGCGTTTATACGTCGATTACCGTAGACTTAATACTGTTACTATTAAAGACCGCTGTCTACTTCCGCTTATTAATAAGACCCTTAATCGCCTTTCTAGCGCCTATTACTATACTATATTAGACATTAAGGACGCCTATTACCGCATCCGTATTCGCAAGGGCGATAAATAGAAGATAGCCTTTCGCACTCGTTATAGGCATTTCGAGTACTTAGTTATACTATTCGGCTTAGCTAATATCCCTATAACGTTCTAGTCCTATATTAATCGGGCCCTTTCGGGCCTATTAGACTATCTCTATATAGTTTACCTAGATAACATCCTAGTCTATACCTATTCGCCTAACATTATAGAGCACTAGGCTATAGTATGCAAGGTACTCGACCGCCTGCGGGCCTATAGACTGTATTATAAGCCTTCTAAATGCACCTTTGCTACTAAGGAGGTGTCCTTCCTTAGCTTCCTCGTATTAACTAAGGGTATTAAGGCTAATCCTAACCGGATTAAGACTATTACTAAGTAGCTAACGCCTACTAGTATTAAGGAGCTTCAATTATTCCTAGGTTTTACTAACTTCTATCGTCGCTTTATTAAGAGCTATTTACGATACGTAATGCCCCTAACTAAGCTTACTAAAACTAAGGCTAACCCTACTAGAGAATTCAAATAGACTAATAGAGCACAAGCCGCTTTTAACGGTCTAAAGCAACGCTTTACTAAAGTCCCCTTATTATACTACTTCGTACTAGGTAAACTAATCCGTATTAAGACTAACGCTTTATAGTTCGCTATATCGGCTATTATATTACAGCAATTAAATAATAACTATTACTAGCACCTAATTGCCTTCTTCTTAAGGAAGATAATTAATGCTAAGCGTCGTTACGAGACCTACGAGCAAGAGCTCTTAGTAATCGTAGAAGCCTTTAAGTACTAGCGCTACTATCTCGATAGTGCATAGCATACTATTTAGGTCTATACGGACTATAACAACCTCCGTAGAATTACGAAGGTTACTAGGGTTATAGGTCGATAGGCTAGATAGGCCGTCTACCTCGCTAGGTTTGATTTTAATATATTATACCGGCTAGGCGTAAGTAACCCTACCGATAGCCTATCGAGGCGACCTAATTACGACAGCGAGACCTAACACATTAATTCTTTGTTTCTAACCCTATAGTATAAGATTGCTATAGCCCGTATTGTTAATAAGCAAGCGTAGGATAAGCGGCTTACCGGACTCCGCGACGGCTTAAAGCATATTAATGCTCTTACTATATTAATAGTGCGTATTAAGGTAAGGGCTAAGGACACAGATAGGAGAAGTTATAATAACTCCCTAGTCGATATCGCTATATATAGTAATAGCGACTAAAGCACTAATATAGTTAATCCGGCTACTAGTGCTACTAGATACATATAGTACGTACTACGTAAGACACCGAGGGTACTATTAAGCGAACTTGCAGACGGGGATAGCCGAGCGTTTATAGATAAGCTATTACGTGCTTAGCAAAGGGACGCCTTTGCTACGGCTCGTATAGATTAGCTTAGAAGTGGCCGTAAGACTAGATCTAGCAAGAATTAGTCGATTAATGCTAATAGCTATTTGCGCTACAAGGGTAGGCTCTATATCCCTACCGAGCATTCGATCTGATAAGAGCTTCTTAAGCGACACTATAATAGTAAGCTTGCCGGTTACTATAGTATAGAGAGGTCGTACGAGCTACTATCGCGTATATACTACTAGCTAAATAGTAAGCGGGACATAAAGGACTACGTAAATACGTATGCCGTATATTAACGAGTTAAAGCACCTAAGTACTTACTATTCGGGGAGTTGTCTTTACTTCCTGTTCTAAAGAAACTATTTGCAGAGCTTATAATAGACTTTATTATAGGCCTTCCTCCTACTAAGCGTAGAGGTAGTAAGGACGTATACGATGCTATCCTTATTGTAGTAGATCGGTTTACTAAAGGCGCTCGTTATATCCCTACTCGGAAGGATTAGACTTCTATTAATATAGTAGAAGCGCTATAGAACAATATCTTCTATACCTATTAGGGGACCCCTAAGGGGATAGTTTCCGACCGAGGCTCGACATTTATATCTTACTATTAAAGTAAGATATGCCTATAGCTAAGACTTAAGCATCGGCTATCTATAGCCTTCTATCTATAGATAGATAGCTAAACCGAGAGGCAGAATACAACCCTATAGCAGTACCTACGCAGTTATATTAACGAGAACCCTAACGACTAGGTTAACCTCCTATAGCTAGCTAAATTCGTATATAATAATAGTGTCTACTTATTAACTAAGGTGTTACTATATATAGCTATAATAGGCTAGAACGCAGCTATGCTATAAGATCCCCTATCGCTCGAGGCCGAGCGTAAGGAAAGGGAAGCGGGTCAACCTAAGACACTAGCGGCTATTAAGAGGGTTTAAAAGATACGAGAAATCTATACTAAGATAGCTAAGAAGCTAATAAAGGCTTAAGAGTACTAAAAGACCTACTACGATAAGCGTTATATACCGATAACCTTTAAGCAAGGCGATATAGTTATGCTTAGTACAAAGAACCTCCGTATCCGTAAACACCTATTACCCGATAGCAAAACACGCCCTAAACTAGCACTACGGTTTATTGGCCCATTCCGAATCCGAGAACCGAAGGGCAATAGCTAGGCCTATTAGTTATAGCTTCTACCCTATTATACTATCTATAATACCTTCTATGTATCCCTCCTTAAACTATACTACTAGCGCGAAGGCGATAAAGCGCCTACTAAGTTAGAAGAAGTCTTAGCTAATAGCGAAGAGCTGTAGTCTATAGAACGTATCCTATAGCACCGGACTAGGAAAGGCAAGAAGGAGTACCTATTAAGATAGCAAGGCTATTTACCTAAATAGGACTCGTAGGAAGCTAAAGGTTCCTTTAAGGATATAGCTAAGCTATTAGATAAGTATTAGACTAGCGTAAAGAACAAGAAGAAGGCTAAAAGCTCGTAATATTACTAAGGCTTAGGATTAATGCTATCCCCGGGGTACTATTAGCTAACTAATTAGAGGCAAGCAATTGTTAGCAATAAGGGACAATAAGACTACACTACTATAGAATCTACCTCTTTACTAGCGCACCCTGTAGGTCCCTCTCTTATTCCTTCCTTCTAACGAGGCCTCGAGGCCTAGGCGATCGGCGAAGGCGGCGCGCGCGTAAACGGATAGTATTAGTAATAATAATAATGCCGACGACGTTACGCTCGTACTAAATAGCGATACGGCCGGCGCGGCTATGTTAGTAACGGTATTGCGGAGTGTATCGCTAGTTAAAGCGTCGCCGGTCGAAGAAGAAAATTAGAAGTAAGGTAAAGTTAGCGCTAAGACGGTTAGCGCCGCTATTGTTAACATTACTTGCTATTGCCGCTGCGCTATAGGCACAACCTTACCTACACTACGAGCCTAAGGCACTATACTAACTAAGTTAAAAGATTAAGCCTATTAAAGGTTTAATTAAAACTTTAAGGCTAAGTTAAAATATTAAGGCTTAAAAGGATTAAGTAGCTTAATAGACTAACTAACTAAGGGCAAAACTATAGAGCTAAGCTAGCTAGGGTCGATCTTGCGGACAATAGGTTACTCCTCGATCTTTCCGATCCTTTAAGCGAGGCGAACCTCTACTACTATACTTATAATAGCCTTTACTTATAGAAACTAGAAGAACTGAGTTTTTTGAAAAGATATAATTAGTTAATACTTAAAGGCTGCTAAACCTAACTAATTAGGGCTAGCGAAACTACGAATAATAAGAATAATAACCCTCGGAAGCGGACAAACCCTCGGAAGCGGACATTGCTAGGTCTTTTAAGAGTAGACGCAAAGAACTCGGTACGACATTACTCAGAACGGAGGTAGGGCTACAATACCTCGTACGTCTACCTATTATAGTAGGAAAGACGCGCTCGTATTATAATTAGTCGATAGTCCTTAATTCTTATAGTTATATATTACTTTATTATATACAAGGATAGCGTAGTTAGAGTTAGATATTGTATTAAAAGTAAGGTTTAATATAGTTATATAATTAGGTAGTTAAGTGTTTAATTTAGCGCGGCTAAGCAGCTTATTAGACTTGCTAAGTTAGTAGTAACGGAGGTCGAGGTTGGAATATAGAAAGGCTACGAGGGCGCGGCCTTTAGAAGGGAAGCGTATATTAGAGGCTATACGTAATTAGTATATAACTAGCTCGAGTAAAGCTAGGGTCTTAGTGCCTTAGGTAGGGCTTGGCGCTTAGCGTTAGGCTAACTAGCCTGCCTTCCTCCTTCTCCTCCTAGTTCTCTATCGAATACTACCTATACCTACTACTACCCTATCTACCTGCTAATATAACCCTTCTTACAATATACTAGCGGCTATAGGTTAAGCAGTTATCTATTAATAACACCGAGCGCGGGTTTAGATATCGCTATATCTTTAGTAGTATATATAACTAGAGCTATTCTAGGAAGTCCGCTATCTTTATACTACTAGGTTTAATTAACGGGTCCTCGAGATATCCTTTAGAAGTATACGCCGGTAGTAGTAAGAACCGCTTACTATAGTATAGGTACTAGATATCGTACGCCGGCATGCCTAGAGGCGCCTAACCTCTCTTCCGATATACTACTCTATCGCTAACATAGCTCTTATCTATATATACTATTATATCGATACTAAAGGACTATACCTACGCCTCGAATATAGCTCTCGCGACTAGGTCGCGTTACGTAGCCGTTCTAGAGGTTAGTTTAAACGTAAAGTACTTATCTACTAATAACCGCGCAATCGTCTAAGTACTAATCTATTCCGAGTACTTATCTAGTAGATAGTACTATATCTCGTTATACTATAACGACGGTATCTCTAGCATTATTTCTACTATAAGATCCCTTATTTCTAGTATAATAATACGAGGCCTTCCGCCCTTTATTAGTACTACCGATTTAGTCTCCCTCTATCTCTTTATTTATACGTAAACTGCTATCCGAGACCCCCGATTGTTATACTATAATAGCTTCGTAACCTTATCGAATAACTAGCTATCGTCGAGGTAGTATTAGATTAGGTTATTATCTTAAATAGTAAGGGTAGGTATTAGGCGGTCGATAGGCGGGCGGGCGGTCGATAGGTAGGCGCGGCGATAATAATACCTCGGAATAGCCTATACTACTAAAAAGGCGATAATATATACTTAAAATAGTAATATTTAGCATAGAAAGAGCAGTAGGAATAGCAGAGGAATAGCTTCACGATTACTATAGAGATCACTGCGGAATAGTAGTAGACCCTCCTCCGCAATCCCGACCCTTTTGCTCTAGAGAATAGAATACCCGAGGGATTTGTAAGCTGAAATTTAGGTCTATCACAACATCTCACACAATCTCCATCTGCCTATGACATTTTGCTCTTCACGCTACCCTGATACAATAGACTATTCTCTCATTGACACCGATCGGTTCCCAATCACACCAAGAATCACCCTTGATATCAAGAAATAGAGTTTCATCAATCTTGACGTTTACCCAGTAGACATCATGTCTTCGAGCTCAACAACGATCATGGCTCTCGACAAACTCTTCCGACCTCTCCAAGTCGGCCACAATCAACTCCAACACCGCCTGGTAATGGCCCCTCTAACCCGCTTCCGCGCAGACGAACACCACAATCCCAGCCCACACGCCAAAACCTACTACGAACAACGCTCCAGCACGCCAGGAACGCTGATAATCACCGAAGCAACCTTCATCTCCCCCTCCGCAGGCGGCTACAAAAGAATCCCAGGAATCTGGTCCGCCACCCAAATCCAAGCCTGGAAAGAAATCGTCCAAGCCGTCCACAAAGCAGGCTGCACAATCTACCTCCAACTCTGGGCCCTAGGCCGAGTCGCCCAATCTTCCGTCTTGGAGAGTGAAGAAGGAGGTCCCTATGAAGTCAAAGCCCCCAGCGCAATCCCCGTCGATCCCTCCCAAACCAATAACTCCGGCGGCCCCACCACCATCCCCAAAGAACTCACCGAACCCGAAATTTTCCAACTCATACAACACTACGCCCGTGCCGCAAAAACCGCCATCCACGAAGCGAATTTCGACGGCGTAGAAATCCACGGCGCAAACGGCTACCTCATCGATCAATTCTTCCAAGACGTCTCCAACCAACGGACCGACGGCTGGGGCGGCAACATCCCCAACCGCGCCCGATTCGGTTTGGAAGTGACCAAAGCCGTCATCGAAGCCATCGGAGATTCCAAAAAAGTCGGAATCCGATTATCCCCCTGGGGAAAATTCCAAGGCATGGGAATGGAGAATCCGATCCCGCAATTCGAGTATGTGATTGAGGAGTTGAAGAAGTTGGATCTTGCGTATTTGCATTTGATTGAGAGTAGAAAGTCGGGCAGTGCGGCTGATGGGGTGTATTTTGAGAGGGGGACGGAGGAACTCAAGCGGTTTCTTGAGGTTTGGGGGGATGAGGTCCCCATCATTCTTGCGGGGGGTTTTACGGAGGAGAAGGCTGCGTGGGTCGTGAATGAGTTTGCAACCGGGGAGAATGTGGCGGTTGCGTTTGGGAGGTATTTTATTTCGAATCCGGATTTGGTGTTTAGGGTTCGGAACGGGATTGAGTTGAACAGATGGGATCGTGGGAGCTTTTATACGGCGGGACCGGAGGGGTATGTTGATTATGAGTTTTCGAAGGAGTGGGTGGAGGAGAGGAACGTGAAGGGGGAGGCGAGACTTTAGATTTGAGATGGGATTCAAATATTTCCGTCGTGATCGTCCAATTCTCTCTCAGAGACATTGAGTTACACGTATGACCTGGATTTCCTCTTCTTCGATAACAATGGGCTCCGCTCAGAACACTCTGTCTGCTCTTCAAAAATCCCCGACCTACGCCACCACAGACAAGCACCCGCCAAGAGAGTAAGCCAGATCGTAGCGCAAAGAACGCCAAGCTGTAAAAAAGAAATCAGCATACAATCAACAATCGAAAGAAACATATTCAAATCACTTACCAAAGCCGCTCCAGGATCATCATACGAAGCAGCATAGACGAAACAAAAAATCGTCGACCCCATCACTCCCAGATTCATCGCCCACCAAGCATAATACACAGCAGAAGGTAAAACTAACCTCCCCCCTCTCTCCCAAGAAGCAGGTCCAAAATCCTCGAAATCCAACCACGCCTGTACCCACGAGCGCGCATCGATTGCAGTGGCATCGCTCCGTCCTCTCCGATTCTCATTCTCATTCTCCAACTTCGACTTCGATTTCAACCCTCCTTTTCGCATCACATCATACGCAGTCCTAGAATCGCGTTCCCAAATTCTCGATTCCAGCGGATCGCCGGACGTTCTGAATTCGCGCAGCGTGCTCGACGTCGGTCGGAGGCTCTGCTCTACGATGCTTTCGGGAAGGCTGGGGAGGAGTCCACAGCGACTTGGCCTGTACCCGTCTCGGGATTCGATGCGGGACTTGTCTGAAGACCTTCTGGATATGGACCACCATCGGCCAGATTTTTCTTTTGGGGGATGGATGCCGTAGTCGGAGAGTTTAGTGACTCGTGTGTCGTTTCGCGAGTGGCTGTGCTTTGGATCCCGGTGAGGGGGTAATGGAGAGCCTTTGAGCGGTGGGCCGGGTTGGTATACGTTTAGTTTGGGTCTTGATGGTGGCGTGGTATTTGGTGGCATGGAGAATTTTGGACGTCGTTGATTGAGGAAGAGGGTTTCGAGGAGCGGATTCTGTCCTTCGAAGTTTTGGGAATCAGGAGAAACACCCCGCATATCCGTGGGTGAGATGCCTTCATCATAGTTGTCTGGATCTGCAGGATCATACTCGCGAGACCAATACTCAATCTCCACAGAAACCAGCGATGAGCGCCTGTGTTGTCTCGGGACACGGTCCAGACTGTCTTGTCGGGTTTCGATCTCATCTAGCACGTTGGGCTTGCTCTTTGACGTCTCCCACGTTGACAGGACGGCACGGTCCTCTACCTCAGGCGAGGTGTCACTATACGTGCGCAGAGCCTCGGGATCGAAGACTGTCGGAGAGGTGAGTCCTGGCGAGCAATCTGTATCCGAGAATATCGCTTGTCTCTTGTTCGGCGTCCCGCGCTGGTCCGGATGTTCCATGCTGAGCGGAACAGGATCTTTGCAGATGAATGGATTGCGGAGTCCAGGTTGGCCGGGCATCTCGTTTTGCGTCGCCGTGGTTTTTGGGTCTTCTGGATGTTCCGCCGACATTTGCGCGTGTTGTTTGCTCGACGTAGAGCATGCCCGGAGACAAGAGGGACATGGAGCTGGATGTTAGCTTCTGATGTAGCGTGCCATCAATTAAATAGGTGTCACCTTCATTACCCATCCATCCGTCCAGACTTGCTGCTTAGCATTCGAGGTACCAATCTTTGCTAGAGCAGAGGCTTAGGATGAGTTTGCTTTTTGGTTCTGGCCAACTGCCAAGGAAGCACTGAATAAACTGCCATTGCATTTTGTACCTCTACGAACTGCTCGAAAGGCGTGACTCACGCTTCAATCGCTCTCAAGTGCATGATAACGTCCTTGAACGTCTTTGCGATGTATCCCAAGCTGTAGGACGTGGAGATGGCAGACTGTTTCAAGCTTCAGCAAGTGGAGATGTAGCTCTCGAAGAGAATTATTGCTTACCTCTCTCTTTGGCAAACACGACTTCCGCACGTCGCCGGCCGATTGGCCTTCGCACCCACCCAAATTCCAGCTATACCATGACGTGCGTTTTCGAAGCCCCTCGCGGATCGCTTGTGCGGACAGAAGCTTGATATGCCTTGTACAGATGGAATCCGACTAGCAATAACACTGGCCCGATGGCGATGAATAGACAAACAAACGTCATCGCGCCCACGCCTTTGACAGTCATGCCCAGAAGTTTCAAGCAGCGGCTGAAATATGGGAGTCGAGTGCGTAACTCTGGAAAAGGCGAGGCTGCTGGGCTTTCAAGTTCCATGACTGCCGTATAGCACAGTGCGATGGTGAGAGCGGCGCCGAGAGTGCAGAGGAGCAATCGGAAATTTGCAAAGGTGTTGTGGCGGTCGATCGGCGAAGCGAAGACACCGGCGTTCGAGCCCCGGAGGCGGAGATCTGTGTGAGACATGTTGAAGTGAAAGATTACACTGTGCACAGCCTCTGACTGACTTGCCTCTCGTGCAGTGGATTTTATGTGTACGCTGATGAGGATCGCTCGGCATGTCCTCATGTGTCAAGCTGTCAGTTCCAAGATTCAACGCCAGCTATACCATGACGGAGCTTCCTAATATCGCGGCATTGCCATTACAGCGCATATTGCCCCTGTTCATTCGCGTTAGACATGCGCTTTTTTCAGGTGACTCGTAAACATGCCATCTTCCCGGCGCTCGCTCATGGGCGTGGCCATTGTGGTGAACAAACGCTGAACACAAAAAAGGAAAAGCGATGGCAATGAGCGCGACTTGACGAGTCGGATGAGTGAGTGAGTAATGTGGTAGGTAGGTAGAAAAGAAAGGGCAAAAGAAAAACAAAAAAATTGTACATACAGCACGTGATCTTCCCCGGAGGTGACACCTTCGCAATGAACCGACGGTAACATGATTTCATAGCACTGCTATCTGATTGCTTTCACGGTTACAGCAATCGAGCCTCGCAGGACAGCGCGGTTACAGACGAATCTGAGGTTGGACTTGAACTGGGGGGGAGGGAAATCAGCCCCTGGTGGTCATCCACCCGAGTACTAAGCACGCGGTTCAGCGCTCAAATCGCAGGAGCGACCTGCTTGAGTTTACCACCGAACCTGTGGCCGTATGTGATTGGCTGAGCTGGTTCAATTCGTTTATGTATCTTGACGCCTTCCGGCGAGGTTTAGCCGGAACAAATGGCGGGGTAAGAGGAGGAGGAACGGCTACGAAGTTTCCCTGGGCGCGGCTCGTGGGAGCTCGTCGTCGTGAACATGTATCGCGGCCAGGGCGTCCTGCTGCGAGCCTCAGGAGGAGCAGTGCCGCCGAGTGGACATGTCTTGGGGTGGTGACTTGGCTGGCGGCGATCCCGTTCTTGGCTCGTCGATGATCGCATGTCACTGCAAGCTCATGGAGTCGCAGGAGGCCAGGCACATGTGCTTGCTGGAGGTCCTGGTCCCAGCATGTGAGCAGTATGGAAGGAAGCGACTCGGGCGTGCAGCGAACACTCCTGTCCCCCGGCCTTCTCATCCTACTCACTTATCAACCGTGTGCCTGCTCACACCAGCCTCCTCAGACATGTAATCCGCCCATTTATTCATTTGAACATCTCTTGCCCATCAGCTTTCCATCTCTTGGCACGTGTTCTCCTCAGTGAATTCGCTCTTCCTATTTCACAATCCGCAGTCCGTCCTGCACTGTCTCCATCATCCCACACAGCAATCTTTCATGCCTCACATTCACATCAAAGGAGAATAAATGCACATTCGCATAGTGAATATTCTAAAAAGACGCCTCGTGAAAATTAGAGGAGAAGCGTGAAGTCCGCCCTGAGCCGACATCGTCCCACCCTGGCTCCATACTTTTTGCACACCCAATCGCATCGCTTCCGCCCCCAGCTCGCGTTATCAGCATGCAGCCAACTTTGATGGAGGGTAGTCTGTATTCTGCCAACAGATCTGTTTAAGCGAGGTGGGGCAATTACGTCTTTCCCGCCAAGACCCTGTTTTGCTATATTATCTCGCTTAATTTCCGGGCCTCGCGTATAGCCTGTTCTCTACTAATAGTACTACTAATATATATCGTCGATTAGTCGATATATTAATAAAGCTAAAGTTTATATATAGTATAGCCGTTATATTACATTCTAAGGTATTGCTATCTACGCCTGCCTATTACTTATTCTCGCCGCCTCTTCCTCGCTTACTTACTATCGCTATTACTAAATAGCGACTAGTATAGCGACTAATATAGGATTATCTTCTCGAGCGCGTATATATAGATATTATAGCGTAGACCTATTACCCTATTAAACTCGATAACCTATAGATCGAGTGCTTAGTACTAAGGTCGACCTACGCTATAAAATAAGCCTACTAGAAGACCTATTAGAAACAGTAACTCGCTTAGTATTAGCGCCGCTATATCTCGAAAACGAGGTAGTATAGTATAGACAACGTATCTATAAGGCGTGTATTATAGGTCTCGTATTATAGTAGTTGCCTCCTTATTAGACTACTCGCTTATTGCTATTATAGTATCTATTCTATCTCTTACCGCTAGTAGGTTGTCTATATTATTCTTATCTATCGTATTAATATCTTCTATCTCTTCCTCTTCCGCGTATATATCGAAGACTATCTCCGGTATATAGGCTATCTCGTCGGCGGCTTGCTACGGCGGCTATTATTATAGTTATAAGAACTCGTTAACGGATAGAAGTAACGATATTCTTACTGCCTCGGCGGCATAATTAGACAACAGCTAGTTTATAAAGGAACGATATTATAGCGCTAAGAGTCGCGTTCTTACCTCGTCTAACTTCTTATAGAAGTTAAACTTAACGTTCTTAAGAAGCGAGTATAGTTGTAGGTAATTAGTCCGCTCGAGAGCGCCTATATTGTCGCTATTATGCCGAGACGGAAGAAATACCTTATCGTCGTCCTTAATAGCTAGTATAATCGCCTATTACTATTTATAGTAGATACTAGTCGCTTTAAGGCTACCTACCTCTTTAAACCGCCGTACGTAGGTCTTAGCAATATCCTTACTAATAGGGTTGTCTTTAAACTCGGTATTAATCTAGATATACTAGCAAGGTAGATAATAAGTCGCCTAGAAATAGCATACACACTCTACTAGCAGGTCGTGGATCTCGTAACGCTTAAATCGGCTCTATTGTAGTATACCGAGTTTAACGTAAGCTAAAGCCTTCGAGTACTACTTAGCTAGAAGGACCTAGACTAAATATAGTAGTTGCTAGAAGACCTCTATACTGCTAATAGTGCGTCGGAAGAGAGGTAATTACTAGCTCTTATTAGCCGCCTTAATAGCTCTATTATACTACTTCTTATTAGTCTTAATTGCGTAGATAATAATACTAGAGAGCGAGAAGTTAGCCTTAGCTACCTTCTTAACTTTAGCCTTATATTTAGAGTGCTAGCCTTTAACGGGCCCGGTAGTACGGTTCTATACGAAGGTTAGCAACTAGTATACCTATATAGGAAGAAACGGCTAGTTTTACCTATATAAGTAAGGGATTGTCCCGCCTTAAGTAAGTACACTATATGCTAGCGTACTAGAAACCCTATTCCTTCCTTAAATAGCTAGCTAGAGGGTCGTTATTGCCTCCTAGCAAAGCCCTCTCGGCATTAGCAAGCGCTTGAATATACTCTTTATTATTCTTAACGTTATAAAGTGCCCTTAGCAAGCACCTATAGACCTTCTTATATAGTGAATTTAGTAGAAACTTCTTCCGAATAATCTCTAACTAATAGCGCTAATAAAGCCTTAGTTAGACCTCTAGAAATACGGTTGTAATAGCCGCTTGCTCGCTAGCTGAGTCGTTAGTTACTATCTATTATAGTAACTAGCCGCCAATCTCGCTATAACCGGCCTAATAAGCTAGGTATCGAAGACCTATAGCATATATAACACTATACTTGCTTTCTAAGGCTATATAAGCTATAGGTCGCTATTTTAGATAGTCGTTAGGTACTATAAGGTTGCAGAGATAGAAGCTAGTCTTACAGGTGTCGTATATATCGTCTATTAGTATAATACGACTATATTTCCGAAGCAATTTAATGCTAGCTAGCTCGGTAAATACAAAGCCTCTTCGGAGGCTATTAGGAGTTATTATTCCGAAGCTATAGAAGTATAGACCTAGCTTAGTAGCCTTATTATAAGCGGCCTCCAATTAGACTAGAATATTGCCTCTTGTTTACTATATAACTTGTCTCTTATTACGGTTATAGTATAGCGAAGAACGACCTAGGTTGTAGGCGTCTTAGTACGCGTTTTAGCTACTAAATAGTCGCCTACTTCCAAGTTGTCTATTCAAGGCATTACTAACACGGTTAATAACGCGTCTAGCTCTCGGAGAGTTATTTATATTAGTCTTAATTATATTCCGGACGTATTTGTTCAACTTCCGGCTATTAAGAAGGTCTAGGTCGTATATATGTCCGCTATCGAATTAGCCTCTCGTAATATATATAGGTTCTTATCAAACACCTTCTAGCCGATATATTGTTATAATAAAGGACACTTTATAGGGCGCAACTAGCTTGAATTTAGGCTTCTAACGTTATCTAACAAAGGTCTCTTCTTTAGAGGCGCTCTCGTCCTGTTTTTCCTTACTTTTGCCCTTACTATTGCTATTGCGTCGTCGTTTAATATAGCCGAAGTACTGCTTCTTAGTTATCCGGCCTTGTATGTCTAAACCCTTGCCTAAACGCGATATAATCGTACGCGAGTATACATTGCTTAAAATAGCCTATATCGTTTCCTATTACGATAGGGAAAGTTCAAATAGTTTAGTAAGGTTAAAGAACAGTTGCCGAAGTCGTTCTAGCTCCGTAATATCGTCTATTATAGTAGTATATAGTATATTACAAAACGAGAGGTTTAGGATTTCCGCTTACTTAGTATAGGTATACTAAGCTTTATCTCGAAATACGCGAAGCCCGGAAATTAAGCGAGATAATATAGCGAAATAGGGTCTTAGCGGGATCTACGTAATTATACGGGAAGCCCTACCTCGCTAATCGAGGTATTAGCAGAATATAGACTACTAGTGTTTATATAGCTCCGAGTCGAAGAGCTATAAGTAAAGGACGAAGTGCTATAAGTAAAGGCCGAAGAGCTATAAGTAAAGGCTAAGGCGACGAGGGGGGTAGGGTAAGCTAGATTCTAGAAGATTCTACGGCGGCTATAGCCGTACCGCGCTAGGCAACAAGGCGGAAATCGTTACAAATCGCGCTTTATAAATCGCGCGCCTTTCTAATAACAACTTCTTCTACTTACTACTACTTACTACTACTACTACTACTACTACGACTCGTTGCTGCTCCCTTTCTATCTTTACTAAGCTAGATACTATACCTACCCCCTATACTAGCTCTATAGAAACCCCGAGCAAGATCTCGAGCGCTACTAGTAAGTTTAATATTATCGCTAAACCTTTATAACCGCGTCGCTAATAGTATTAGTCGCTTAAGTATTTAAGGGCAAGGAAGTTATCGATCTCGCCGGTACGTCCTCTAACGAGTCTCCCCCTCGCTCTACGAAGCGAGTTCTAGCTAAGAAGACCGGCTCTAAGAGGGTCGCGACTCTAGTAAGTCTCGTTTATAAATATATATTGCTAGATATACTAACCCTTAAAGCTCGTCGTAGGCGAAGTCTTTATACGTTTCGTTAGCGGCGTAGTGCGCTATCTTACGTTTAACTATACCGTTATCCTCTAAGAGGGCGCTAAGACTATCGAGTACTAGTAGTTACTAGGCACCTCTACTATAAACGCTTAATCGTACGCTACTCTTCTAGGATCCGATTTTACCTAGGACTTTAAGGCTAGCTCTCCTTTTGTCTAGATAGGACCTAGGAATCGATTTACTATAGGAATCTATATCGCCGCTACTCGGAAGAACGCGATAATCTAAGAATAGTATACTAATTAAGAAGTTGAAAGTTAGAAAAGGCGAGAGGAAATAAGATAAGATATACTATCTACGCTATAGGGCGCAGACCGATATATATACTCTACGGAGGTTAGTTAGCCCTTTGTAAAAAATAAAATCTATAAAGTAACTTATAATCTTCTTCTTCCTATTTTTATCTCGTCTACCTATATAATAGATATATACTAGGCCTATAATATCGGTTAGCGAAGCTAGTAATGTTTAATCTCACGTTTCTTAGTACGTTACCGCTATTGTTACTATTCGCATTATAGTCGGTTTAAAATATATACCTAATCTAGTTAAGTCCGCTCTACCGCCGCGACGACTTCTATACGAGCTCGCTTACTATCTGTTTTCCGTATATAACCGCTTGTAATCTCGCTAATACTTTCGTAATATATATCTCGAATATGCTACGTCGCAAACGTAGGAGAATTAGAATATAACAATTCCGCTAGAAACTCGAAGAGTTGCTAGAGCTATGCTTCGCTTATACTTCTCCTAAGTTCTTCCGCTTTCTAAGATACTTCCTAAGTAAAGTCGTATTCCTCCTAGTAGCTAGTATCCTTAGTAGAGATAGTCTCTTAATATTCTAGGGTGCCCTCTTCCTATTCGTACTCCGTAGATAGAGGTCGAGTATTCGATTTCGAAGCCCGCCCGCTATCTTCGAATTCTAGTAATACTACTCTCTTCCGGTTATAGTTTATATAGCTAGTATAGCTCCTAGGATCTCCTCTATAAGCGCAATTACTATATAGTAGCTTTAGCGCTAGGTTATAGGAATAACGGCACCCTTCGAAATAACTACGGTTAGATTCGTAAGTTCTATATTTTAAAGGAAAGGGATAGTTTAGTATAGCGCAACTTCTAGCGTCTATACCGAGGATATAGACTAGCGCCGCTCGCCTCGCTCTCTTATCGGTACCCTTCTACGTTACGCCTTCTCCTAGTATACGTATATAGCCCTCTCGAAATACTAGATCTCGCCCTTTACCGCTTACGATTTTCTTTACTAGCGCGTAGTCCGTAGTTCTAGTTTCCTAAATTTCACCTTTTTAATATGCTTCTACTACTGCTTATATGAACTGTTACGCGTAATCCTTTCCTACTTTAGGTATAATATTAAGGCTCGATATTATATTAGCGCTAGGAATATAGTAGAGAACCCGAAGAGAAAGGAGGATAACTAAGAGAACTGCCGGGAACTTAGCTTATATAGACAGGGGATAAGCGGCTAAATAACAAGGTTCTTAGTGCCTCGGAGAAGTAGTAATACGCTAACCGTATTTAGGTAGCTAAACTCTATACCTAAAGAGAAAAAAATGCTAGTATAGATAGAGAAGTTTTATATATATATATTATAGAGAATAACTACTTATTGCAGCCTAAAAGTCTTCTATATCGAAGTCGAGATCTACGTCTTAAAGTATACTAAGGATCTTAGCTTCTTGTTTATATACGATAACTAGAGCCTTTGCCTTAGCAATGTCGCTTAGCCTTAGAGTACGAGGTAGCGTTAGAGCGTATAGTATCGAGGTCGGAGTAGAGACTTAAGTACGGGATATAGGCTTTAAGAGTAATACGGGTTGTCCGGGTAGTCGCTTCCTAGAGAACGAAGGACCTAGAATAGGCGTAGTATCCTTAGAAATCTATTAGATTATACGCGCCGCAGATACGGAACGAGGTATCGGTATAGGTACTAGCGTAGGTAGTATCGACGAGGCCTTAGTTAGATCTACCCGCGCAATCTCCTTCGAAGGTATTATTTTGCCTATAACTTGTATTATCTATTAGGCGTTACTAGGACCTAGGGCTAAGTTCTAGAGGTAGACTAAGGAGTCGTCTAGTTAGTATCTAGGAAGTTCTACGAATAACGGTCGGCGCGAAGTTTTCGCTAGTGCTATAGTTAGCGTAGTTTCTCGCTAGCTTAGCTATCGTCCGACTCTAGTATCGACTAACGTCCTATCTTCGTCGTTACCTAGTACGAATGCCCTAGGACCCCTTTCTACCCTATGCGGAAGGCTACTATCGCTACCTACTTCGCGGTCTAGACCCGCAAAGTTTCGAGTATACTAGTTAGGCTCGTTTTTAGGTTCTATAGCGTCTCGAGTAGAACCGGTAGGCGGTTTAGCGATTTCGGGAACGTACGCTCGAGGTACGTAGTTAAGTATACCCTACGGGCGTCGCGGTTGCTACGCTAGTCCGGTAGAGCTAGTAGGTATAGCGTATATCGCTCCGCGTAATAGGACGTTCGAGGTTATACCTATAAACAGATTTCTATCCTTAAAAATAAAGTCGTAGAGACGCTTAGGTAGATATAATAGAGCCGAGCGAAATACCTTATTTAGGGAGTCGCCGCCCTACGTTAAAGCATACTTTCCGTTAATAAGTACGCGGAGGTTATATACGTCCGTAACGCGTAAGAATGCTATAAAGAGTTAGCCGTAGCTAAATACGGGCCGTCGAAGGTCGATGCCGATATATACTAGGGATTAACCCTAAGATTTGTTTATCGTTATTACGAAACAAGGTTAAAGCGAAAGTTAATATCGCTTAAGGGTAAACGGCAGGCCTTTATTCGAATATATCTAGATTCGCGGTATCTAGTATACTTCCTAATTATCGTCGTCTAGTAGTTTCCGAACTTTAACCCTAAACTAGAGTGTTTTTACGACGATAACCCGCGTTCCGTTTACAAGTCCTACGGTCTTATAGATGTTCCGTATAATTATTATTAGTATACCTACCCGGATCCGTAGGCAAGGAATCTAGAGCTCGGTATTCTAGATAGATTTTAAAAGGCTTAAGATTTCCGGAGGCTAGTCTTTATCGCTAGGCAACTTCTCTATCTTATCCTCGTAGCGATATTCGCGAATTGTACCGTACGGTAGGTCGTCTACGATACGTTCGTTAATCTCGTAGGCGGTATCGTTCGTTATATAAAAGATAGCTCGAGAACGATAGAATACTAGGTCGTACTTAGCCTTAATAATACCCTATCTTAGAAAGACGAAATCGATAAGCTCGCTAAGGTCCTAGACTCTTCCGACGTATATTAGTAGCTTAATAAATCGATCGAATACGTCGTCGTATATAATATAGAGGGTCTAGCGGTAGAAGTCGACATTCCGCGGATTACTATCTATAAGCTATATATTTTACTAGAGATAGAGTACCTTAATCTTATTCTAGATTAGGAAGGCTTTAAATGTAATCGCTATTACGTCTACTTCCTTCGAAGACTTCTTATACTCGGGAAGCACTAGAAGAGTCTATACCTAGTCGCCGCCGAATACGACGGGGACTCCCGCGAAGAATAGTTCGTTGCCCTAGCCGTTACTACCTAATCGTAACTTATAAAAGACTCGATATATAGCTATAATATCGCGTCTATTCTATATCGCGGCTTCGTCCTAAATAACTAGATAAGTCTTTCGGATTAGCTTAGCGTCTATTATATCTTAAGTAATAGGATAGTCCTACTATCCGGTATTACTTAAAGGAAGTTTAAATTGGGAGTACGCTATACGACTACTAGGAAGCAGCTATACGGCGATACCTAAAGACGCGATATATAGCACGATAAGGCTACGTGCTCTATAGGTCGCTACGAGTATACGGTATAGGAACGTCTTCCCGTAGCCTCCCGGACCTTAGATAAAAAAGTGCGCTATTAACGGATTCTAGTCGATATCGTTCGTAATATCGGTAAAGGCTCGCCTTTAACTATTATTAAGAAGGTAGGCGTTTTGTTATACGTAGAGTTTGTTCCCGTCTTCGTTTTCTATATCGACTAGCGCTTCTTCTTAAGCGATAGCGTTATTACTACTACGTATTTTCGCCTACGAAGGATCGGGACTCGGTAGTCTATAGCCCGATACCTTGTATCCGTTAGCAACTAATTCGGTATATAGCTACTACTTACTATAACTTTTAGTAGTAGTATTTATCTTCTTATACCTTCCTATATAGCCTCCGCGCCGCAGTTCGATATATAGATCTTTATATATGTCCCTCTATAGAAGACTCTACTATCGCGTAGAGTCGGCTCCGGATATCGCATCCGTTAGGATAAGTAGTACGAATATAAGACGTAATTATCGGGAGGTGTATATCTTCTCGGCCTCCCGGAACGTATCGAGCTATTTATCTTCCGATCTTATAAGACTAGATACAATCGCCGCCGCTCGAAAGCTCTTATATACGGTACCGCTATATATCCTTAAGTCGCGGAAACATTTAGTACCCCGAACGATATAGAGCAATTTAATTAAGTATAGTATCTCGCCTTTAGGACGTAGGGGCGGGTTAAGACGCGCGATAGAGTATACTACGCGCTTAGAACGTTTCTTCTACGCTTTGTTATATAGCGTATAGTGTTTTAGAAACTTAAGATACGTTAAGCGCCGGCAAGATACGTCGTTGTCTAGTAGTAACGCGTTATACCGAAACTACGCGACGAGCGTAGTACGTTATCGTCTATCGCCGCGTAGGTCCGCTATCGTCGCGTTATAGTTAAATATAATATTACCCCTAGGGCGCGGTAGGTAGACGTCTAGTCGAATAACCGCGGGCTATTCTTTATAGCGCTTGCCTCCTAAGATGTTATATATCGCTATTATAGGACTAATGTATCGTATATTAACGTAGTTAGCGATCTCGTTACCGGGAATCTCGAGGTAGGCAGTCGTACGGTCGGCGCCCTTATAGACGTACTTATTAATATATTTAATCGCCTATAATAAGTAGACCTGCTCGATATTAATATAGGCGTTAAACCGCTTTAGTAGGTATAGATTGTACGGCACGATATAACGATTATCGAAGAGGAACGCGCGATTCCTCCTCTTATTCTATATCCTCCTATTACGGCGTCTACGATATTTCGGAAACGCGATATTAGTTACTACCGTCTCGTCCGAGAACTCTATAGGGAATCCCTTAGAATACGTCCCTTCGGAGTATCGAGGTAACTATATATACGGGACGTATAGAAAGCCCGCGCTATAAGGTCTATAATATATATATTCCTTAACTAAGTTCGTTACGCTACTATCCGGGTCCTCGGCTAGGCTCGGAAGCTTAGCGCGGATAAAGTTGTCGATCTTAGATATAGTATCTAGCGCTTAATCGGGCGCGATCTATAGTAAGAGGTAAAGGTAAGGGAGGCTACGCTTCTAGTATTCGACCGTCTAATATCTCGCGATATAGCGACCGAATACGTTCCTATAGTAGACCTTATATAAAAACTCTCTAGCTTTCTAAATAAAGACCCTTATCGTAATATCCGGGCGGTCTATTGCGTCCTAATAGTCGAACAAATAACGCTTAATCTCCGGCTAGTTAGAGTTAGCCGTAAACGTAATAAAGTACGTAGGGACACCGAAGTAGCCGACGATAGCTATAGAATCTCGGTAGTACTATAAAATCTACCGATCGCCGCCGACGTACGAGGACGGGAGAACTATTTATAAAGCTTATAGGATGCTATCGGATAATAGAGCCCCGTTCGTAGGGACGACTAAACAGTTCCGCTATAGCAAACCGTAACGTACGCTTCCCTCGCATTCCCCGTACTATGCCTTAGTTCGAAGAATATCGTAACGTAGGTTTTCGCTAATCTATCGAGACAACTCTCGTTAGATATCGTATTTATTCTTATTGCCTAATAGTACGCGCGTACTACGCTATTTCGGTTGTTTTAAGTCGTACGTATCTGCCTATACTTCTTTCTAATAGTTGCCTAGGAAAAGCAGGTCGTTTAAGTCTACTACGGTATATACGTCGACGTACAATTGTTATAGGAGCCGGCGATCGTAGAAGATAGTAGGAAATTAGTTTAGTCGATAGTACAAAATATACCTAAAGTAATCCCTAAGCGTAACGTGCCTCCTACTACGCGTACGAAACTAGTTCTCCTACGAAAACCTAGGAGTTCTAGCCGCCTAGAGGAGGACGTAATATATAGGGAAGTAGTATAGATAGTAGCGATTTATACGATATAGAGTAGTAGACACCTCTCCCGTACTTAACCGCTCTACTACTACAAAATCCCTTATTCCGCTAATAGCTTCCGGATCGTAATCCGGATAGAGGGCGGCTACTTCGTTTACGACTAGCTTATTATATCGACGCGCGTCCTATATACCTTCGTAAACTAAACTAAGGTCTATAGCCTTAAGAACGAGGCGCCTAGGTCCTTAGGAGGATATAAACATTTCCCGAGCCGCGGCGAACTTGTAATATAGCGCGTTATATTACGTAATTATCTTATATAACGCGATTATAGTGCCGTAGTCTAGCTACGGCGATAGTATAGATTTCTAGTTCTAGCTAGTATGTCTACGATCGCCGGATTTCTGTATACGCCTCTTAGTAGCATATACGGGGTCGTAAAAGTATAGCTACGCGTATTAGGGATCTTCCGTCGGAGCGAAGAGACCGCCGCCTAAATAATACGCTTCTCCGTAGATCTAGAACGAACTATATCCTAATACCCGTATATTACGCTTAGCTATAAATAAAGTTATTGCGAGGCAGCAATTATAGGCTCGAATGTTCTCCTAGAACGTTCTTGCTTCTATATCTTTAGATAGATCTATAGTAAGTAGTCGCCGTAGCAACGGAGGTAGTTTAGGGATCGGAAATATACCTTTTACCGCGCTACTACCGCAATATATTATAAATACTATACCGTTCTTGTCCGTAGAAGAAGACGGTTTACTATCTACTCGGACGTTCGATACTTTACGGATCTAATGCTTAGCTTAATAGTATTAGTAGGTATATACTATATCGCTAATATTAAGTGTTACTACCTTATATAGCATCGAGATATACGCCTTAGGAAGAGTAGACCTCTCTAGGCGTAAGAGGTCGGCGTTAGTAGCCTACGATCGACCTAGGCTATAGTACGCTTCGGCGACCGCTATAGGGAGGGTATTATAATCGTTTAGACGTTTAAAAGATATCCGCCCTAGAGAAGGCTAACTAGCTCGTACCTAAGGACTAGAACCGCTAGCTCTAGCCCTACTAGTAGGGGTAGTAGTAGTATCCGTCGGTATAGCTCTAGGGATAAAAGGAAGGCTTAGTAGAAGTAGCGGTTAGATAGGCCCTAGCGACGGAGCTCTAGGCGCAATAGAGCTACTATTCTTAATTAAACTCGTAGAGTTAGCGTTATAGGAAGGCTCCGTAAATTCAACGTCTATCGGTCTAGAAGGATCGAGAAGGTCGCCGAAGTCGTAGTAATTATCGAAAGCGTCTAGACCGTATTTATTAGGGGCCTCTATATCTAGTAGCGTCGGACCTTGCCTCTCGGCGTCCTATATAACGCTATCTCTAGGCAAGACAGACTAATCGTCCTAGTTATAGTCGCGACCTATCGGACTTAGTAGAGTATAGATACTAGAAGCGCCGCTTACTAATATAGATATAGAATCGGACCTGCGATTAACGCTCGGAATTGTAACGATAGGTAAACTCTACGCCGAATATAACAAAAGAGATAGTATTAGACGTAACGGGTCGATAGTATATAACTCGTACGTAGGCGGAGTATAGGGACGCTTAGTAGATAAAGATATAAGAAAGGGGGAACGATCGGATAGCGTTTTAGATAAAACACCTTACGTATATAGCGATAATACGCTAGGGAGGTCGCGCGTCGTCCCTAACGCCTCTAATATATCGTTAACGATAGGACTTACTCGACGTAACCTAGGTAATAGTCCGGTAGATGCGTCGTTATACGCTAACTATAGATATATAGTATTAGAATCGTAGTTGCTACGGGCAGAAAGTTAAGCTTTCTATTAAAGTTAGGGAATATTATCGCTCGAATACTAACCTACGCGCTAATATACTACTAGAGTGCAGACCCTATAGAATCGTCCGTTCTTCCTTTAGAAGTTAGACACTAGTTTAACGATCTAATAGAATTTGCATTAACGTAGTTCGACTGCTAGTCTAGAAGCGGGACCGGTAACGGGAATACGGTTATATAGAAACGATAGCCTAGCGGAAGATTAAGAGATACCCGCTCTATACCTCGTCTTTTTATCTCTATATAATATCGTTTAGAATAGATTATCGTCTTATACGACGTTTATTCCTATCGATATTTTAACTAGTAACGGGGAACTAGATCTCTGCTTCGGCTTTAGCTATCGTCGCGAACGCCGCAACTTAGATAGACTGTCGTCCGATATTAGGTTAATCGTAAAGTCGGGCGGTACGAAAGAGCTAAGTATCGCTCGCTTCTTACCTTTCCTCGCGCTCTCTATATCCGGTAGCGTAAGTATCGGGCGCTTAGATTTAGAAGAAGATAGAGTAGATAGAGAAGATATTTTACGTAAGGAAGAGCTAAGCGAGTACGCCGTACTATAGAGTTCGAAGAATCGCGGCCTTTCGTACGAAAAGCGAGGTAATTACGACGTACTATTAGTAGACCGACGATATCGAGGCGTCCTTATATACTACCTCTCGGAGATAGGGACAATTCTAAGAGCGAGCCGTTGTTTTCTCGTAGAGATCGTCGATAATATAAGCGTTAAGGTACGCCTCGGAAATTAGGATCCTAGAGCGGTATAAGGTATACGAATCGTAAAGAGTCGATATTAGGGATCTCGGTTAGGAGGGACCGCGGCTATTAGCCTACCTACCTCTAATGCTTACTAGTCCTAAGTTGTTTATAGATAGAATAGCTAGATGTTCGATATTACGAAAGAAGTCTAAGATCTAGGGAGGACGAATCGCGAAGAATCGATAGCGGAGACCCTAGTTAGGAGAGCCTATACGATTAGTGCTTGCTTACGAATCGTAATAATTCAGAAATTAATACTAGGAAGTTCCTTTAACAGAGCTAGTTAGATTATTAGAATCCGTAGATTAGAAGATTCCTAGATCCTAAGGTAGTATTAGCGGAGTATATAGATTAAATAAAGGTTACCCGGAATGCTACTCCTATACGAGCCCTCGAGATCTAGTTTAGACAAATTATCCCTAACTAGTTAATTAAATCTAGGGTATATAGTTTGCGAGAGTAGTAGGATACTCGCCGGCCGAGATTACGGAGGAGGACTAAGTACGAACAGTAGGTTCGTATAGGATAGTTCGTATAAAGGGGAGAGAGAGAGCGAGAGTACTCGGTAGATAGGCGCCTCTTTAACCGATCCTAAGAAAGCTCTATATTTACCGGCGTAATCTAATCTTACGTAGTATCGATCTCGCAATTTCTCGACGTAGAAAGGCTATAGGCACCCTATAGAGCGCCTAAAGTTAGGAGACTAGTAGGATAGCTACTAGATTCCTTAGGCGTTAAGTAGATTGCTCTATACGGGTCCTACCGGGAGTACTATCCTCTAGTCGCTGATTATTAAAGAGAGATACGTATATAGCTAGGGGCTATTTAGAAAACTAGATCCTACTAGAGCTAGTAGTATTAGTAATAGCCGATTAGAGGTATTAGGCGAGGACGCCTATAACTCGCCTTTAAGCGTCTAAGACATTAGCTCGCTAAACGATAGTCCGGTATATCTAGAGATAATATCGTAGGCGGCGGATATAGAGGATTTTAATATAGAAGAAGGTAAAGAAGCTATAACGGTGCCTACTACGCCTAAAGGAAGGCAGATCGCGGTTAAATATATAGACTAAGCGCCGGTTAAGACTATATATTCTAGGAGGGCAATTTCGGTATTAAAGGCCTAGATTAGCGATATAGCACGTATACGCTAGCTCGGATAGTGTATTCTTCGGCTTGATTTCCCGTACTCGGCGCTCTTAAAGAGCGATATTCGTTCGGGTAGTATCGCGTAATTCTAAAGACCTTTATTTCGAAACCTCCTAGTCCTAAGTGTATCTCGAAGTAATATACGCGCCGCGTATACGTAGCTACCTATTTGTTTGTATACGTAACGCGATCTAGAAGTAATATATTAACGCGATTATTAATACAAACTTAGAGCGCGATACGGATATTAACCGTTATTCTATCGACCGCCGCCCTTCTATATACTTCGCGTAGTCTAGTACGACTATTTCCCCCTCGATTTCCTTCGCCGATACTATTATATTAGCGATTAGAACGCGCGCGATAGCGGACTAGGAGGACGTCGATTTTATAGCTATTTAGTAGTAGGAGCTAAACTTCGCCGCTAAGTCGCTCTATAACGAGAATAACGGCGTTAAGCCGGAGACTAGCCCTATCTTCGATCGCCTAAGGGAGAACCGTAGAATAGGCCGGTAACCGGATATAGCGTACCGCGATAACCGCCGCTACGATATATACGCTAACGAGATCGTAATAGCGGTTAATAGAAGGATAAACGCGAAACTAGATACTAAGTTTATAAGTATTAGCGCCGCGTATAGATATCGAAACTAGAGCTAATAGTAACTAGACGTACTAGTACGAAATAGTAGATAGCGGCGTAGTCGAGCTTACCTTTTAGCCGAAGGACGATAGCTCTCTCTACCCTTTCGATCGTTATAACTTCTTAGAGGCGGATAGTAAGATTCCGGCCCTAAAGAGATTCGTAAGTTAGCCCGTCGGGAAGGATTGCCTATTT